TCCTCCTCCATCACCGTGTGCGAGAGGGTGATCAGTTGCTGCAGGACCTGTTCGTCGCCCAATCTCGAGGCTGGTTGTATCACTGCTGACCCCTCTCACCTGCACATGGACTGTTCCAACCTCTCCCCTCAGGCCACAGGCTACGGACAATCTCGCGCCATAAGAACAACCTCGCGCCATAAGAACAGTTTCGTCGCCTCTGCCGTTGAACTCATAAACACCTCACAACTTCTGTCACTTTATATTTGCTACTAATAATATCACACCACCTGGCACAGATATCTTTTACACATGCCTTTTGTTTGTATTTCTTTTAACATTATGTTTTACTTGTCACCACATACTGTACCATGACAATATCCAGGTAGGGATTCCTACTAATTGACATCCTGTTACTTACAATGGAAATAGGAGTACGTGAGTAAGTAATTTTTATTTATATAGTGCACAGACCACCCAAAGCATCTCTGCACCGCCTGAATGAGGCCTAACAACTGGTTTCACCGCTGGAGCTGGCTGCCCAAAGTTAAGACCCATTTGAGACTCATTGTGCTTTTTTACTGGACTCTCAACTTGATAAATGTTAACGCAATATCATTACTTCCAAATACAATGTGGAAGAAGAGGCCACTGTTTGAACACGCTTAGTGGTGCTGGGAAGTCAGATAAAGTTTCTTCTGCGGCTCTGGCTTTTTATGTGATTTTGGCAAAAATGGAAAAGAAAAAAACGCCGTGGGGCTCACTGAGAAGATGTGAATGACAGCAGAGGACCGGCATAAGACTGGGAAAAATAGAAGATTTAAAACTGTGTGGTCTTGTGAAAAGACTCAGAGGCGGTACACTTCCGGCTAAATCACCCTACATACATAAAAGTCCTCATAAGGAATTACAGTCTGTCATCTGCATTTGACCCACTCATCAATGCCACAAGGGTGACCTGTCGGAGCACTGGTCACTACGTCAAATTTGTTTAGACTGCATCCACGGTTCTTTCGGAGACTATTTTGACCAGAGTTATATCAATGGCCTCTATTTCCTTTCATTGCTCGTAATGTATCACTGCAATGAAAAATAAATCAAAAATTGCTTAAATTTGGTAATATTTATCAAAATTTGAGAACATAAAAAAAAAAGATTTACCAATGGGACAAGCAAAATGATCTTGTTTTGATGAGAAAATAAAGCTACAGTTCTTGATGTAGGACTAAATTACTTGGTCCCATTGAAAAATCTTGTTTTAATACAGTCAGAATGTACCCAAATTAAGATTAAAACCACTTGATTCAAGCAATTATTGCCTAATTTTTTGCTCACTTTTTACAGGGAAGCAAGTTTTTCAATACATGTTCTGAAAACAAAAGAATGAAAAATAGTAAAGTTGGCTAAAACAGATCAGACGTTTTATCACTGCACTTTTGAGAAATGTTTAAAACAAAATGGAGGGGTAGGCGTACATAAGCTTTCTCCCTTCTGCCTGCTCCTTTTGAGCTTGTAGAATTTTTTTTCCAGCATAAGAATATAATCAGCAAAAAAATAAAACATTTTCTCAAAACAATTACAAAACTATTTAGACTGGGCTGTGTTTATCTTCCTACATTCATGTTTCTGTTACTCCTACAATCTATGGTGAGTATCAGTTTAAAACAAATTAAAAACACTGTCCACAAGAATAATTCCAACCAACAGAGTGCGCAGAGAACACATCTGTTAAACAGACGAGTGTATCGCCCCAGGACCATCGGGAAAAAAGGCTTCTGTTTCCATGGCAACAGTCAAACACTGTCATAAGGCTGTCGATGGTGTGTGTGGTAATGGGTGGGTTTGTACCAATGGGTTTAATGTGCATGGAATACTGTATATCACCAGAAAATCTCATTCAGGTTTGAGGATTCTGCAAAATACTTCAATCACATTTTGATCTGTTTGACAAGGAAATGCAGTTTCTTCCATAATGTACATGCATCACACTGCAGATCAAGTCTCCAGAGAATGTCAGTAACCCCCAGTGTATAACCTTCTGTTCTGTTCTGTTTGTTCTACTATAGTTATTTACCTGCCCAGCTGATTGCCCTATCAGTTTGTGTTAACAAGACCCCTAAAAACATCCTAATGCATCGGTTTTATATGCTACACATGTGATTATTTATTCACTCTGTACATAGTGGTGATAAACTATTAATGTTTCCACAGCTGCCCTGGGGCACACTGACAGAAGTGAGGCAAACAGTATGTGCCATCAGCCCCTCCGACCACCACCAACCATTCACACACAACAAACACATTCTAGGCAATGTGGTTTAAGTGTCTTGACACAACACTTTAGCCGAAGCCGCCCCACTGTGGCACCTGGTGTTCCCAGAAGTCTCCCATCACAGTACTAACCAGGCTCTACCCTGCCTACCCTGCTTCAGAGGTCTGACGGGATCTGGCTTTCGCGTGCAAGTGTGGCCATCTGTGAAGCTCATCCCAAAAACAAGCTGGAAGTCGATTCATAAAACTAAGAAAATGCATGCAGGGTCACAAAGTCCCCAACAGCTTTTTACCATCTGATGAACATTGTCAGAACTACACATGGGGAGGCTGCATTTCAGATTCATGCAGCTAAAATCTGGAATAGTCTTCCTGAAAATGTGAGAGAGGCGTCTACTCTAAAGACCGTTCTGTTTGCCTGTGCATACAACTGAAGAATTACTGTATATCTCTACTTTTAATTCAGAGATAAATGTTTATTTTTTGCCTTAGGTAATTTTAATGTTTTTATTATCTGTGTGATTTTTTAATTGTGTTTTAAACGGTGATTCTGGTGTTTGTTTTATGTGATGATTTGTGCCTTGTGTGACGTGGACTGCGAAGCGCTTTGTGTTGCCCTGTGTATGAAAAGTGCTCTACAAATAAATATTGATTGATTGATTAACTATCTTTCAGGTGAGCGTTTGGTAGAGATTAGGTGGATGATCACGTCTCTTTCACTTGGTTAGCTAAACTTTCGATGATGCACCAATTCTTACATTGTCTTGACTATTGATTGCAGTGTATCAGAGATTTGGATCATCAAAGCTCTAATACTGTGGAACATCGGATTTTCTGTGGGGATAACAGTCTCATCTAATCAGAATCAGAATCAGAATAATTTTTATTGCCACGTAAGCAACAGGTAGTCACAGACTTGGAAATTGCTTTGGCTCAGTGCAACCGTCAAAGAAGAGAGGTAAAGAATAGAGAATAGAGTAAGGCATAATAAGAATATGCCTTACTCTACAGCAGACATATTACGACAATATCCCACTGATGTCTGCTGTCGTTGTGTTCTTGGGCAAGACACTTAACCCCACATGGCCTGAAGCCCCCACTGAAAGATCAAGGCTGTATCGTCACTGACGGAGCAGCCATCAGTGAGGGGCTGGTGCTATGTGAATTGGGTGCAGCTTTGACTGCACCCACCAGCAAGAGGCACAATAATTATTAGGATCCACAGCCTTTATGAGACAGAGAAAAAGAAGAAAGAGGAGGCTTTAGCTGAAGCGGAGTATGTCGCTCTGACAGGTGATCACTGGACCTCCGTTATTAACACTAATTACTTGGGAGTGACTGCACATTACATCACTAAAGCATGGGAACTAAAGTCATTTGCACTAACTGTAATGAAAACAGAAGAACGTCATTTTGCATCTGCATGTGCTGAACAGTTCCAAACTGTAGCGCGCAAGGTGGCTATTGAAGGAGAAGTTACATGCATCGGGACGGACAGTGCACGTAATATGACAGGCGCTGCTCGCATTCTACCATACGAGCACATGCCCTGTGCTGCCCACATCATACAGAGAAGCATCACTGTGAGCCTCACTAATAGTGGGTTTGACAGTATGTTGGCCAAGTGTCGCAAAATTGTGGGTACTTTCAAACATAGCCCCGCAAACTTAGGGGAGCTGAATGCAGAGCAAAAAGCGAGAGGACAGAAAGAGGAGCCACTAACCCAGGATGTCTCAACGCGGTGGAATTCTACGTTGGAAATGATTCAGCGCATGAAACGCAATCAAGCACCGATAAATGCCACACTGGACCACCAGCAGCACAAGCTAGTCATGCTGACGCCAGCTGAATGGGACAAAATCCAGAGACTTGGCGTCCTTCTAGAGCCCTGCCGGTAAGCATGCATTATATAAAACAGAGGTTCTCAAACTTTAATTTTCTCATCTTTCATTTTCTCTCGCCGTGTGTCTATGTGCGTGTCTGTCTGTGTGCGTGCGTGCGTGCGTGTGAGAGGCATACGTCTCTTGCTCCATGGTTTTGCCTGCCCTCTGTCACTTGGTCTCTGAAGAGGACCCTGCATATATATAGTAAAGTTCAAAGATAAATTTAAGGATGACCTCGCTTCTCGACAAGAACACCTCAACCATGCTGATCGCGAACTGTCTCCGGTACACGGACAAGGATCGTATTCTCAAAGAGTCCAGGAAACATCCTACGGAGGTGGGCGACATCCAGCTCAAGTTTGCTGCGGATTATAGTGAGGCCACTGCCAAGCGGCGCAAATCATGCTACAAAGTGATGTATGACGCACGCGTAAAAGGATTCCAAGCTTTCCTCCTGTATCCAGCAACGATCAAGCTGACCAAAGCTAGTATGGACTTTGTAATGTATGGAATACATGTACGGTCTCTTTAAGAGACACCTGCGCAAGGTATTGTGGGATGCGCTTTACCCCATGTAAACGAGTGTTACGCGGGATTCTGTTCATTAAAAGTACACACGAAGTAAGCTCCTGGTCTCGTCTCTTTATATATGTCGTATAAGCTAATACAGACATTACATGGTGTCAGAAGTGGCCCGCATGCAGCCAGGATATCACCGCGATGGCAAAGTTTAACCCACCGAGTGAATTTAAGTTTGACCGACCTGCTGAATGGCTCGAATGGAAACAGAGATTTTCCCGCTATCGGCTTGCAACAAAACTCAGCAAGGACAGTGGCGAGATTCAAGTGAGTTCGCTCATCTATTCGATGGGGAGCGAGGCTGAAAAGATATTCACTTCGTTCAACCTAAGTGAAGACAAAAAGAAAAGCTACGAGGCGGTGCTTAAGAAGTTTGACGAGTACTTTATTCCCCGCCGCAACATCATACATGAGCGGGCTTGTTTCTATCAGCGCGGCCAGCAGCCCGGGGAAACGGCAGAGCAGTATATCCGTGTTTTGTACGAGGTGGCGGAGCATTGCGAGTTTGGCGATAAGCGGGATGAGCACATCAGAGATCGCTTGGTAGTGGGCATTCAAGATAAAGAGCTGTCCCGTAAGTTCCAACTCAAAGCAGACCTGACGTTACAAGAGGTGACTGAACAAATTCGCCAGGCAGAAGAGATCAACAAGCACGTCAGCCTCCAGTCCAGCGCGCCAGAGGCCATGGCGGTGAACATGGTCCGGCGGCAGAGCGGACCTCACACGGACAGACAGGGGCGTTATAGACCGCGCCAAGATGCAAGCAGCCGGCAGGGAACATACAAAATGGAGGGCTGCGGGAAATGCGGTAAGCCCAAACATTCGGACATAAAAAAATGCCCTGCACTTAAGAGCAAGTGTAATAAGTGTCAAAAACAAGGGCACTGGGAGCGAGTGTGTCACTCTAAGGCTGTAAGAGAAATCACTGAAGAGTCGGAGCAGACATACTTCCTTGGAGAAATTGACAATAAAACTGATCGAGATAAATGGACAGTAGACTTGGACATAAATGATGTGCTGACAACATTTAAAATAGACACTGGTGCAGATGTTACAGTCGTCAATCAGAGCACATACAAGATGATGAAGCCAAAAATTGAGCTGCAACTACCAAACACCAGGTTTGTGAGTCCAGGCGGAGATCTCAAATGCATGGGGCTGTTCCAGGCTACCACCAAGTATAAAGAGCAGCAGTACACGTTCAATGTTTATGTCATAGAAGGGGAAAGTCAGCTGCTTACTGGGGCGCCATGAGGCAGTGGAGATGGGCCTTGTGATAAGAGTGAACGAGGTCAGTACTGTTTTCAGCTCAGGTGGACTGCTGGACACAGAGCCAGTGAAGATAGTTCTACAAGAGGGTGCCCAGCCATATGCAGTACATACAGCCAGACGGATTCCCCTGCCCCTCGTCCCTCTGGTAAAGAAGGAGCTGCACCGAATGGAAAGCGAAGGCATCATTGAAAAGGTGACCAAGCCAACAGAGTGGTGTGCAGCCATGGTGCCGGTGCTCAAGCCCAACCGGGAGGAGGTGCGCTGTTGTGCAGATCTCAGGAAGCTTAACCGTGCAGTGCAGCGTGAAAAATATGTCCTGCCCACTGTGGAAGAGATTTTGCCCTGGCTGGCCGGATCCAGAGTCTTTACTTCATTAGATGCAGCCAGTGGTTTTTACCAGATACCGCTACACAAGGACAGTCAAAAGCTCACAACTTTCATTACTCCATTTGGGAGGTACGCATTTCGGCGGCTCCCATTCGGGATCACGAGTGCACCAGAGATTTTCCAAAGGAAAATGGCGGAGACTCTGGCAGGACTCGAAGGGACTGAAGTGTACATGGATGATATCCTCATTCACGGAGAGAATGTGGAAATCCACGACCAGCGCTTGGCGAAGGCTCTGGCAGTCATCAAGGCAGCAGGGCTCAAGTTGAATGAACGCAAGTGCAAGTTTCGGCGGGACCAGATTCGCTTCCTCGGACACGTCCTCGACAAGAACGGCGTTCGTCCTGACCCGGACAAAGTCGCAGGGATTGAGAATTTCCCTCAGCCACAGAACAATACCGAGCTGAAAAGGTTCCTTGGTATGGTGAATTATTTGGCTAAATATGTTCCAGAACTGTCTACTGTGGGCCAGCCACTCTACGCGCTGCTTACGGGAAACGTAGAGTGGGGTTGGGAGCCCGCCCAGCTCACAGCTTTTCAAAACCTCAAGGCTTTGTTGGCCACAGCCCCAGTTCTTGTTTTTTATGATGTTAACAAACCAACTGTAGTTTCAGCAGACGCGAGCAGTTACGGACTGGGAGCTGTTTTACTACAGCAGCACGGGGACCGATGGAAACCCGTGGCCTACGCATCCAGACGACTCAGCGACACGGAGACCAGGTACGCTCAAATTGAAAAAGAGTGCCTGGCCAGTGTCTGGGCGTGCGAAAGGTTCGAAAAGTACCTTTTTGGACTCGACAACTTCAGACTGGTAACCGACCACAAGCCCCTCGTACCCTTGATTAACAGCAAGGACCTGGACAACGTTCCCATCAGGTGCCAGCGACTGTTAATGAGACTCATGCGCTTTAATGGTATTGCAGAGTATGCACCAGGTAAAACTCTAGCAGTAGCCGACGCTTTGTCTCGGGGCCCAGAGCAGAGTTACGGAGATGAGAATTCCCACCAAGACGTAGCAGCACACATAGATGTAGTCATTAGTCAGGTGCCAGCCACCTCTCAGAGAATCAGTGAGATCAGGGAGAGCACTGCTAATGATCCACAGCTACAGACTGTTCGTAGTTTTATCAAATCAGGGTGGCCAGAGTACATAGACAAGGTACCGTTGTCAGTCAGAGACTTCTATGATGTGAGAGGAGAGCTATCTGAGCTAGATGGCCTGATAGTGAGAGGGAGCCGTATTGTGATTCCTGTAAACATGCGAGTAATGGTCCTAGACAGAATTCACGACGGGCACCAGGGTCTAACTAAGTGTAGAGAAAGAGCTTTACAGTCGGTTTGGTGGCCCAAAATGAGACAGGACATTTCTATGAAAGTGCAGCAATGTCAGTACTGTACAGAGAACAGAAACACACAACGAAAAGAGCCCTTACTTCCAAGTATACTCCCATCCAGGCCATGGCAGAAGATAGCAGTAGATCTATGCGAGTTCAAAAAGCAGAACTACTTAGTTGTATCTGACTATTTTTCTAGATTTTTAGAAATACTGCATTTACCCACTACTACAAGCAGCCAGGTTGTGTCTAGACTTAAGGCTACTTTGGCACGTTATGGCATCCCAGAGGTGATAGTTAGTGACAACGGGCCACAGCTAGCCTCTGCAGAGATGAAGGACTTTAGTAGGGAGTATGACTTTGCCCATGTCACGTCATCTCCACACTTCCCTCAGAGCAACGGACATGCGGAGCGAGCTGTCCAGATTGCAAAGAATATCTTGAGACAGAACGATCCCCTACTGGCCCTCATGACATACAGGGCCACTCCCAACTCTTCCACTGGAGCCAGCCCCGCTGAACTGTTGATGGGAAGGAAACTTAGAACCACCTTGCCTATTCTACAGGACAACCTGAAACCAGGCTGGCCTGATATGGACAAAATCCAACAGGCTGATGCCTCAGCTAAACAGAAGCAGGCACACTTCTACAATCGCAGACACGGAGTGCGTTGTCTGCCACCACTGAGCCCAGGGGACCCTGTGCTCACTAAACTGGATGGACAAAAACAGTGGACGAGGCCAGCTGTCATTCAAGGTACCAGCTCCACTCCCAGGTCTTATATAGTGGAGACTGCACAGGGTGAGCGCTACAGGAGGAATAGGCGCCACCTGCTAGCCGTACCTCACAGGGCCACACCTGAAAATGTGGATCCTGTTGCAAACTCACAGACTGTGGACTCTGAGATGACCAACAAGGAGCCCGCAGTTATTACACTAGAGACTGTTACATCCGGATCCGGGATGACTCGCTCTGGTAGAGTTAGCAGACCAGCAGCTAAACTTGACTTGTAAGTAATCAGACTGTAGAGCAGTTTTACGCCTATAGCTAATGTTTAAGTCCGCACAGCTTTTGTTATACCTTTGGTTCTATGGGGGTTTATAAGTAAGTGTCCTCTTTCTATTTGGGGAGAATGGTGGGTGAGCATAAAATTGGAAATGTTCTGTTGATACTTTCATAGTAGTACCGGCACGGTACTACTAGTAGTAGGGCGGCACGGTGGCTGAGTGGATAGCACTCTCGCCTCTCAGCAAGAAGGTCCTGGGTTCGAATCCCGGTTGGACCAGGGCCTTTCTGAGTGGAGTTTGCATGTTCTCCCCGTGTCTGCGTAGGTTTCCTCCGGGTGCTCCGGTTTCCCCTACCACTAAAAATATGTACAATAGGTCTGGCATGTGCCTCCTGTACTGGCACCCCCACTCCCAAAAATAACAATTGTAAACCGCTTTGAGACTCCGATGTGCAGTGAAAAGGCGGTATATAAATTACTTACTTACTTACTTACCGGCCTAATGCGTTGGAAATTCGAATTGAATATTCTTGTGTAGCATCCTGATGTTTGAGGATTTGTGCTACAAGAACATACATTTAAAATGGTGTTAATACATGGGTAAATCATCTGTAAGAAGGGGAGATGTAATGTATGGAATACATGTACGGTCTCTTTAAGAGACACCTGCGCAAGGTATTGTGGGATGCGCTTTACCCCATGTAAACGAGTGTTACGCGGGATTCTGTTCATTAAAAGTACACACGAAGTAAGCTCCTGGTCTCGTCTCTTTATATATGTCGTATAAGCTAATACAGACATTACAGACTACACATTTGATGAAGCAAGCCAGGCGGAAAACTTCTTATCCACTCTGGACACGTAACCAATGGTGAAATATCACCGGTAAGGTACTATATGAACTCTTGACTGTGTGCTTTGTGTCTGTCTGTGAACATGACAAATGACAATAATTGATTCTATTGAAATGAAACACAGCTAAAAAGTAAACATCTGAGGGAGAGTAGAGAGACATTGCCTCATGAAGGACGCTGTTTCATTTTATGAATGGGACGGGGTGGGGGGAGAAGGTGGGGGGAGGGAGGGGGTACTCATGGTCACCAGTGTTTTGTTTTTTTGTCTTAAATCAGTTCATCAATTGAAGATTATATTTTTGTTGTATATAATTCATGGACTACTTAGGATTATTTAACTATGGAAAACAATGATTTAAGAGAACATAGAATGCATGACTTTGACATGGATCTTGACCCCGACAGCCACTTGTGGAATGATATTGGTAGCGCTTGTAAATATTATTCTGATGATGAATTTAATTTACACTTCAATTCATGTGATGGTACAGGCCTATCTTTTGTTCATTTTAATGTTAGAAGCCTTTATGCCAATTTCAGTAAAATTAAAGACTATTTTGAATTTACTTGCCTGCCGATTTAAAATAATTGCTCTTTCCGAAACATGGCTTAATGATGAGAAAGGTGCAGATTTTGTGATTGTGATTTCAATGTTGATTTTTTAAATCCATCTAAATGCAAAATGACTTCTGATTTCTTTGCTGCATTATATTCACGGTCCCTCTTTCCATTGATTTCACATCCAAGCAGAATCACCAGTTCTTGTTCTACATTAATGGACAATATTATCACAAATGATACAAATCACATTGTTCAAAGTGGCTTATTGATAAATGACATCAGCGATCACTTGCCTGTTTTTACCTTCTTTGATTTGCAGCCTACAAAACATGAGCGTTTAAATCAGCCCACATACTTCAGAGTCAGAACTGAGGAAGCGATTCGTGGATTTAGAAGCGAACTTGCAAAACAAAACTGGTCTGAAGTTTATGTGACTGATGTGAATGAGGCTTATGGATCTTTTTTAAATACTTTTTTGTCACTTTATAACAAATGGTGTCCAATGAAGCTTTCTAAAAAAGTATTTAAAAGGGAAAAACCTTGGTTTACTAAAGGAATAATAAGAGCATGCCAAAAGAAAAACAAATTGTATAAAAACTATTTAAAAAAACGGACCTCAGATAGTGAGATCAAATACAAAACATATAAAAATAAATTAACGGGCATTATAAGAAATGCAGAGAAGGACTATTATAATAGAAAACTGAGAGAAAATCATGGAAACATGAAAGCAACATGGAATGTACTGAATAAGTAAGTACATAAGTAACTCTAGACAAGAAAAGATACCAGATCATTTCATTGTGAAGGATGTTGTGCATAACAACAGCAAAAGTATTGCCAATAAATTTAATTTGTTTTTTACAAATATTGGAGCCAATATTGCGAACATGAATGCAACTAACGGAAATAAAACGTGCAAATTGGGAAGCAGAATCATTCAGTCCCTGTTTGTTGAAGAGATCAGTGAATATGACATCTTATCTTTTGTAAATAAATGTAAAAATAAAACCTCCACAGACAGTGATGGACTAGACATGACAATTATTAAAAGAACCATTGACTGCATTGTTAAACCACTGACTTTCATTTGTAATCTGTCCATACAAACTGGTGTTTTCCCTGAACAAATGAAAGTTGCTAAAGTAATTCCGCTGTTTAAAGATGGAGACAAGCACCTATTTAACAATTACAGACCAGTGTCGCTGCTCTCACAGTTTTCTAAAGTCCTTGAGAAATGGTTTGCACAAAAATTAACAAACTTTTTAGATAAACATAAATTACTCCCTGACAAACAGTATGGATTCCGATCACAAAGATCCACAAGCCTAGCGCTCTCTGCACTGGTGGAAAATATTACAGCTGCAATTGAAAGAAAAGAGTACACTGTAGGTGTGTTTATTGACCTACGCAAAGCATTTGACACCATACATCATATTTTGTTACTGGCAAAATCATCCAACTATGGAATTAGGGGTATAACACATCAGTGGCTTCAAAGTTATATTACAAACCGTAAGCAGTATGTACATATCAACGGGTTAGATTCTGAATGTAGAGAGGTCATATGTGGTGTTCCGCAAGGGTTTGTTTTAGGGCCATTGCTTTTTATTTTGTTTATTAATGACATTTGTGACTCAACAAACAGGTTAAATTTTTTGTTGTTCGCTGATGACACCAGTATATTTCAATCAGGAAGTGATTTGTTGGAGCTATCGGAAAGAATTGAAGAAGAAATGTTAAAAGTGAGAAATTGGTTTAACGAAAATAAGTTATCTTTAAATTGGGATAAAACAAACTATATGATTTTCGGTAAACATAGCAAAATTGATAATGTGAAAATTACAATTGATGGAGTCGGTATAACAAGAGTTGAGGAAGTTAAGTTTCTAGGTGTTGTTTTAGACGAAAAATTAAAGTGGAAAGCTCATATTGAGTATGTAAAAAGAAAGGTTAGCAAAAGTATTGGCATTTTATATAAAGTTAGAGATTTGTTTGATTGTAGCTTGTTGAGGATGCTTTATTCCTCAATGATTCTCCCATATCTCAGTCATTGTGCTGAGGTCTGGGGTAACACATATACTTGTACCACCAAGCCCTTGTTCCTGCTGCAAAAAAGAGCAATTAGAATCATCAGTAAGAAAGGTTATAGAGAGCACACTAATCCTTTATTTATTGAAAATAAACTTCTTAAATTTAAGGATCTCGTCGACTTAAAAATGTTGATTATTATGTGGAAAGCTAAACAAAAAAAATTGCCAAATGCTGTTCAAAGTAATTTTGTTGCACATGACGCTTCCCATAGAAGAAAATATAATTTTCGGAACATGTTTGCAGGAACATCGGTGAAACGGAAATGTCCGTCTGTTTACGGAGTCAAATTGTGGAATTCTTTAAGTGTGGAATTTAAATGTTGTACAAGTGTTTACAAATTCAAAAAAATGTACAAAGACAAAATTCTGAGTGATTACGAAAAAATTGAAAACAACTGAAGTGAACTGTAAGACGAGCTGTTTTGTTATGTTTTGTGACCTGGTGATGAGTTGGGGTATAATGATGGGGATTTCTGATTTTATTTTGTAAATTTGCTAATGGGAACAGATATTACAAGATTAATCTTCATTCTGTTCCTTTTTGTTCATCCATTCTTTTTGTTTGTACCTCCATCTTGGCCATGCGGCAGCCACCACACCATCATTATATTCTGTGTTTGATATATTGTTTACAATAAATGGCCCTGTAGGGGTTCTAATTGTTGGCCGTTGTCTCTTCCCCATCTTTTCATGTTGGGTGGTTAGACTCAACCGCAGCGCATAAATACCCGCCGTACGGGACTGCAAGAAGACTAGGTGAAGCAGGGTAGTTTGTGAATGGTTAGGGCGGAGGACTTCGGAGGGTCAGGTTGGCTCTGTTTTTTTTGGGGGGGGGGTGTGTGCACTTGTCTGGTTGGTTCACTGGTTTCATTTAGTCGTGGCTTTAACCCTGTCTCTGTGTATTTGAGTGTATGTGTTGTGAAACATAGTTCTGGGAGAAGGGACAGCAATATAGACTTACAACCGTGTTTTTTTCCAGTTGTAGAACAGGTTTTCTTTGTGGTGGCTGCTTGAGGCTTAATGCACGTATCTTTTCTCGTTCAAGCGAGTAGTTTTGCGTGCAACATTTGTTTTTTGTATATATATATTTATACGTTTTTTTTTGTTTTTGTTTTTTTCGGGCCAGAGATGGAATTTCAGCTGGAGGATTTTGTGGCTAATCCCACTGTGGATATGCTTGATGGGTGTACTAAGGAGAATTTGTGGAAGGTGGCTGCTCAGTACGGAGTACAGGTCTCTAAGCAGGACAAGAAGCAGAAGCTTAAGTCTGCGTTGATTGATAAATTAGTTGAGAGGGGGATCCTTGCACCTGTGGAGTCGGTTACACCTGGGGCTGGAGTGGTGGTATCCGACCCAGAAGTGCGTAAAATGGAGTTACAGCTGGAGATGAAGCGGTTGGAGTTAAAGGAACAAGAGCTTCAACAGAATTTTGAGTTGCGTAGATTGGAGATCAAAGAAGTTTCTAGACGGGAGTTGGCTCGTTTATCTAGTCCAATCAGAGGTCAAAGTTCAACTCCGGGGTTTGATGTGAGCAAATGCATTCGTCTGATTCCGCAGTTTACAGAGAAGAATGTGGACATGTATTTTGTGTTGTTTGAGCGGGTGGCTACTACCTTGAGTTGGCCCAAGGAAGTGTGGCACTTGCTGTTGCAGTGTGTGTTTGTTGGACGGGCTCAAGAAGCATGTGCAGCTTTGTCTCCTCAAGCAAGTGGGGACTATGAGGAGGTTAAAAAGGCAGTGTTAAGGGCATATGAGCTTGTCCCGGAGGCATATAGACAGAAATTCAGACATTATAAAAAAGCTGAGGGTCACAATTATGTGGAATTTTGTTGTGAAAAGGTGGAATTGTTTGATCGGTGGTGTAGTGCGCTGGGTGTGACGACATTTGAGCGGCTGCGGGAGCTGATGTTAATTGAAGAGTTTAAGAATTGTTTGCCTGAACGCATTTCAACATACATTAATGAGCAAAAGTCTGTTACAGTTGCGGCTGCAGCTGTGTTGGCGGATGAATATGTGTTGACGCACCGTGAGTACAGTGGGAACTGCGAACAGGGAAGCCAAAGAGACGGGCCCTGTTACTTCCATGGTGGGCGCCAGCTTGGTGCCAAGAATCAGAGCTTTGAGAATAGAGTCTGTAATCATTGTCACAAACGAGGGCATGTTAAAGCAGACTGTTTTATGTTGAAGGCAAAGGGGTGGAATGGTCAGGCAGGTCCGAGTGGCGTTGGTTTGGCTGCACCAGACGGTAAGGCAGTGAATGCGAGGCAGGTCGTCGACTCCTCCTATCTCCCATTCATTCGAGAGGGTCTCGTGTCTATGGTTGGCAGTAAGGAGAAAGTATATATAAAAATATTAAGGGACACTGGGGCATTTGACTCATTCATTAAAGCGGATGTATTGCCTTTGTCTGAGGTGTCTGAGACAGGTAATTGTGTTCCCGTTCGGGGAATAGGATTAAATGTGTTCTTTGTGCCTTTACACAAGGTGTTCTTGGAGTGTGAACTGTTCTGTGGCCAAGCAGCGCTAGCAGTCCGCCCTGCATTGCCAATGGAAGGAATCTCTGTGATTTTGGGAAACGATTTGACAGGGGCACGTATGTGGTCTGATGTGGTGTCTCAGGGGGTGCGGGAGACACTGCAGCCTGGGGCATTGCATACTGGGGTTGATGAGAGTAGCCCAACATTTTCAGAGGTGGTTACAGCCTGTGCAGTAACGCGTGCTATGTCACGAGCAGAGTCTGGCAGGGACAAAAGTGACAGAATTATTGCATTTCCTTTGTTGGATTTTCCTGTGCGTTTGTCTCATAGTGAGCTGGTGGCGGAGCAGCGAGAGGACGAGTCACTAAAAACTCTCTTTGATCAAGTTCAGCCAGAGAGGGAGATGGCGGACTGTGCTGGGGGGTACTTCTGTCAAGATTCATTGTTGGTAAGAAAATGGGTGCCACATAGGGGTCTTGTGGGTGAACCTGTTTTTCAGATTGTAGTACCAGTTAAGTTTCGCACAGAGATCTTGAAGGTGGCACACGATCAGTCTGGGCACTCCGGAGTTCGTAAGACGTATGATCGTGTTCTGAGGCAGTTTTTCTGGCCACGTATGAAGAGGGACGTTTCGGGTTATATTAAGACGTGTCTCGTTTGTCAACTTACATCCAAGCCTAATCAGACTTTAAAGCCGTTGCCTTTAAATCCGATAGGGACTGTGTCAGAGCCTTTTCAGCACTTGATTATTGATTGTGTGGGTCCTTTGCCTAGATCAAAGGCTGGATTTAGTTATTTGCTTACAGTACTGTGTCAAACCACGCGCTATCCTGCTGTATATCCTTTGCGTTCTCTTACAGCCAAATCTGTGGTGCGGGCACTGTCACAGTTTATCTCTGTTTTTGGGATACCAAAAGTCATTCAGTCAGATCAAGGCACCAACTTCACCTCTCATTTGTTTTCTCAGGTCTTGAATCAACTTCGGGTTAAGCACTCCCAAGCAACTGCGTATCATGCGGAAAGTCAGGGAGCATTGGAACGCTTCCACCAGACGCTTAAGTCCCTCTTGCGTGCTTACTGTATGGAGTTAGGACGAGACTGGGAGGAGGGTCTACCATGGTTAATGTTGGCTGCAAGGGAGGTCACTCAAGAAAGTACCGGGTTTAGTCCAAATGAGCTGGTGTTTGCACATAAAGTTAGGGGTCCATTGGCTGTGGTTGCTGATGAGTTTAGGGAGTCTGAACCGCCTACTAAACTATTAGATTATGTTAATGGGTTTAGGCAACGCCTTTATGCGGCACGGGAATTGGTTAAAGAGAAGCTGGGCATAACCCAAGCAAAAATGAAATCACTTTTTGACCGGCGGTCTGAGATGCACTCGTTTTTGCCTGGGGATCAGGTGATGGCCTTGTGTCCTATTATAACATCTCCTTTCCAGGCAAAATATTCTGGACCGTATACTGTTCTTAGTCAAACATCTGAACAGAACTATTTGATCTCGATGCCGGAGCGTAGGAAAAAGACACGGTTGTGTCATGCAAACTTGTTGAAACCGTATTTTCAGCGCCAGGCTAATCCGGTATGTACGGTTGATACAGTGGTATTAACTTCGGATATTTCTGTGGAGGACAATGAAGTGGGTGCATTGGACTCTGCGATTGTGCACGGCCGTCTTAAGAATTCTGAGACCTTGAGGAACTTGGGCTGTTTGGTGTCACATTTACCAGGAGATCGAGCTGAGCAGCTTATTTTTGCCGTTCAGAGTTATCCGAGTTTGTTTGCAGATACACCTTCACGGACACATTTAATTGAACATGATATAGATGTCGGTGATTCAAAGCCAATTAGACAACGGTTCTATAGAGTTAATCATGAAAGATGTAAACTTTTGGATTTAGAGGTGGATTATATGCTTACCAATGGCATTGCGAAGCGAAGCAACTCTAGCTGGGCATCTCCCTGTATTCTTGTGCCGAAGTCAGACAACACTTCAAGGTTTTGCTCTGATTTCCGAATAGTAAATAATGTCACCAAACCTGATTCGTTTCCTCTCCCTAGGATGGATGACTGTGTTGACCAAGTGGGTTCTGCCAAGTTTGTCAGTAAGTTTGACCTTTTGAAGGGTTACTGGCAGGTGCCATTGACGAAGCGAGCTCAGGAAGTGGCGGCTTTTGTCACTCCTACAGGATTGTATTCGTATACAGTTATGCCATTTGGGCTTAGGAACGCACCAGCGACGTTTCAACGTCTGATGAACCAAGTGCTGGGCAGTATGTCTGGGTGTGCTGTATACCTCGATGATGTGGTGGTGTACTCTGATACATGGGAGGATCATGTGGAGCGCATCAAGGAGCTTTTTTCTCGTTTGGAGGGGGCAAGCCTCACAGTTAATCTTGCAAAATGTGAGTTTGCAAGAGCAACTGTGACCTATTTAGGTCGGGTAGTAGGCCAAGGGGAGGTTCGACCTGTAGCTGCAAAAGTGCAAGCTGTGGAACAGTTTCCTGTTCCGGTGACTAAGAAAGAGCTGATGCGGTTCCTTGGTCTTGTAGGCTATTACCGATGTTTTTGCCGTGATTTTTCTTCTGTTGTAGCTCCTCTGACTGACCTGTTGCGGAAGGAGGTCAAGTTTTCCTGGTCGCCGGAGTGTCAGAGGGCGTTTGAGCAAGTGAAAAAGCTCCTTTGTGCTGCCCCTGTCCTGGCGGCGCCTCGCCTTGGTTGTTTGTTCCAGTTACACGTGGATGCCAGTCACGTGGGGGCCGGAGCCGTTCTGACACAGGTTGATGATCTGGGGGTGGACAGGCCAGTGAGTTACTTTTCAAAGAAATTCAACAAACATCAACTAAATTATTCGGTGATAGAAAAGGAAGCGTTGGCTCTTATAATGGCATTAAAGCATTTTGACGTTTACTTGAATGGGGGTGGTCTAATCATCGTGTACACTGACCATAATCCGCTGTTGTTTCTCTCGTCACTTAAAAGCCCAAATCACAGGCTGATCCGGTGGTCATTATTCCTGCAGTCGTACTCACTGGAGATTAGGTACATCAAGGGAAAGGACAATGTTGTAGCTGATGCCCTGTCGCGCGCTCCAGGGTTGTAGGGAGGGTTGTCTTCCTATCCCTCTCCTAGGTGGTGTATCAAAGGTACAGACATCATGCGGGCAGAGGAAGAACCCTGATCACCCACCGTGCGATGCCACACCGGGACAGCACGGTGGAGAAGCCCTCGTCCCGGGGCCACGGAAGGCGGCTGAGGTGCCATGTAAGGTGGATGGAGGCCATGTCTGTCGACCACCGTGCTAAGCCACGCCGGGACGGCACGGTGGAGGTTTCCCTGTCCCGGGGCCACGGAAGATGATGAGGTCCGCTGTGTTCTTGGCCAGGATTCCTGGGGGAACCTGTCTTTTATGGGGGGGAATGTGACATCCCACACTAATGTTGTCTGTCTGTTGGAGGTGGAGCACAGAGGAGGACCACACGGGGGAGCTGCAGGCCCAGCAGCTCCTCCCTATAAAAGAGCCGCTTCCTGTTGGACGCCCGCCTCTTCCCTTTACCTCCATCTTGGCCATGCGGCAGCCACCACACCATCATTATATTCTGTGTTTGATATATTGTTTACAATAAATGGCCCTGTAGGGGTTCTAATTGTTGGCCGTTGTCTCTTCCCCATCTTTTCATGTTACGGCCTAGAGCCGGGCCGTAACAATGGATTAAAAAAAAAATGGTGTAATGGCTTGACATGACATGAGCAAATAAATAAATAAATAAATGCATGGCTCAAGATTGCAACCGCATTCGATCCACGTTTTAAAGACTTAAAGAGTCTGCCCAAGACAGAGCGAGATGAGGTATGGACCACACTTGGAGCCATGGTGCGTGAAAAATCACCCAGAAGATCACAGACTTCTGAAGATGGGCCACCCAAGAAGAAAATGACACTGAGGAGGAGGTACAGCCTGACAGAGCCATACACAGGTACAGAGCAGAGCCCACCATTGATATGAAGGACTGTCCCTTGCAATGGTGGTCATCTCATGTAGGGACCCATGAGGAGCTGGCCCAACTGGCTCTTCAATATCTCGCTGCTCCTGCATCCTCAGTTCTGTGTGAACGACTCTTCTCAGTTGCAGGTCACATTGTGAACAAGAAAAGGGCAGCTTTACTCTCAGAACATGTTAATAAGTTGGTTTGCCTCAGCAACTGGCTGGGAGATGAGTAGGGCCACATTTAAATGACACACCACACACTTTGTTTGAACAGAGCAGAAGAAACATTTGATTTATATGATGAAGCTCAAAAGAGCCTGATGTTTCCTACTGCACTTTTGGTTTAAGAAATAAAATGTTAGAGAATAGCCATGTTGTGTTTGTTTTAAAAAGGGAAAAAATACTGTTTTCTGTTACTGAACAAGCGGACCCTCTTTTTGCCTTTTTTTAGAGGAAAAAAACTGTCTTCTACAGAAAGTTAATAACGTTTATGCCATTTAATGCGGATTTGTTGTTATAATAAACAAATACAGTTCTTCTGTACACTATGTCATCATTTATCTTTCCATTCAAACAACCATCTACAGAAAAATATGCCATCATTTTGTCGATAGTTCGAAATGTGAATAATTACCATTAATTAATTTTTAAGCTGTAATTAACTCGATTAAAAATTGTAATCGTTTGACAGCCCTATTACAGTTACATTTACAGTCACTATGTACAATATACAAGTGCACATGGTGCACACAATATGCAACAGGCAGTGCAATAAGGTGACAAGAGGTAAAGTGACGTTATGATGGCATTAAAGTGACTTAATAAGGGACAGTAAAGTGAAATTATAGTCATTTTTTATAATGATAAAGAGCAGAATTATCCTAATCGATCTTGTATCTAGATCAGGGGTGCCCAAACCTTTTGCCAGTGGGTCGCGGGCCAAATACACTGATAGTATTCGTGAAACACAAATAAATGTAAATTTGATCAAGTTCTTTTAATTTTTGTTGAATGATTAAATGCATTCATCATTGTCTATCAGTGCAAATCACAGATCAATGAAGGAAAACAACACAGTCTCAGTGAAGTGGAGGCTTCAGGGAAATATGCTGGTTTGAGGAGACTACAGTACGGAGAGATTCCGGTCAGAGAATCAGGGTCCAGAGGAGGGAGATTTTCTGTCGTGGCTTATTTACAGGTTATAATCAAATATATGTAATTATATAACAGCTATACATTGGGTCTATAACACAATATTAGAAAAATACAGCACTTATTTGGTTGCTCTTAAAAAGTTACAGACATGCCCTTTAATTTTGGCTCAAGACGCAGCGCAGATTGTCAGATGCACAATAGACGTCACATAACTAATTATAAACTAGCAATAGAATGAACTTTGAACTATAAATCAGCAGCAAACCAAACATTTGACGTTAGAATACTACTTGAAGTAGGTACATCACATCACAAAAGATAAATTGTGACTTAAGAAAACACCTTATGTCTAAAGTATGTCTAAAGTAAAGTATAAGTATAAACACAGACATATGGCTAAAGTTGCACATATAAATCAACAAATCACACATGGTACTAACTTTCTGGTCATTAATGCACACTGACACAGGCAACAAAATGAATGAATGAAGGCATGCGGCTGCGTGCTGCTCTGGCAATAGCTACGTGCTCAAGTACTTCAATATGCAAAATAGAAACCTAACACTAGGGGCGCACTTCTCTGCTTGGCTTTCCTATACTTTCCTACAAGGGCAAAAGGCTCATGGGAGATCCTCTCAAATTGATAAAACATAAAATTGCTCACAAAAAATAAATAGTAGGCTGAAAAAAATTAACATGAAGGTGCCTTGCACCCAATTGTTTTGATTTTAAAACATTATAATGCAAGTTGATTTGAACCATGATTGAGGCGTGTATCTCGATACAACAGTAAAGTATCGGAAAGAAACTCCAGACATATGTCTGTTTGTCCAGCCAGCCTGAGGGAGGCAGATAGAAACCTCCTATAGGCAAGGTAAACGTTCGGCGGACCAACTGAAATGGTCTGGCCGGCCAACTTTGGCCCGCGGGCCCCACTTTGGGCACCCCTGATCTAGATATATCACATTATAAGATATTGAGACAAGATTAGGGATTGACTGAATATTCCTGACATACAATAGAACAATGTCTGCGTAAAAGGAAATACAGTGTTTTATGCTCTGATATGTTCAATTGGAGTGGCACTCTCGGAAAAATGGTAACTTAGGCGAATAGAAGTGGACTAAGAAGACACCCCTATCTAAATCCTCTGGTAAAGGCAAGGGCAGAGGAGTACTTCTGCTAAGTGCAATTTCCGAAGGACCACTATTAAACACTATTTTCTGAATGTTTTACCCATGCTAAAACATTTGAATCAAAACCGCAGGTACTGTCGCAGTTCAACATCCCACAACTGCTGGGCTTTCTGCCACTATGCTGCCCTCTGACAGTTTACAGACGTGGGATAAAATCTTAAACAGTTGAGCCATTTCTCTGGTTTACTGGTCTAATATTTTTGCATGGCGCCGTAAAGATGGCGCCGTGGCAAGAGCTCTGGTGGGTGCTGTCTTCTCTGTCTGGTACACATTTGGGTAGTCTTGCACAGTTTTTCCAATGTGGTTTTACTGCAAATAAAAATAATCTGAATCTAATTGCCATGATTGACCTACAAAATATTTTGGATTATGGAAAAAAACAGTTAATATTTAAATCCCTTATACATATTTTGTTACTTTTAAATCTCGACAGGACACTCGACATTCAACGACATTTATGGACATTGGTCATCTAACGCTTATGAACCAATGGCAAATTTGATGGTTTTGTAAAGTTCTCCAAAATAACTACTAATAGCACGATCGCTAACATGCTGCCGTGCTAACACAGTGACCAGGGGACAGCGATCGCAGATGGAGTCAGACAGGCGTGAGATTCCTGCTCCTCTCTGCAGGTCTCTCAACCGGTTTTTACTCCCCCTCGACCAATGAGCCACTGAGGCATCAACATGTACCTGAGTATTTGTAATGAAGTACTTCCCAATTCCAGAGGGTGTCTGTACTGGGGCTGGGCTGCAAAACATATGACCAACCCCAATTAAAAAAAATAATACTAACTGGAATGGGAGAGGTATAATGTCTTGGTTCAAATTGTGTGAATCATACCCAGAACCAGGCTAAAACACTTGAAGATTTCTGGTAAGAATGAGTCCTATGTACAAACATGGACCTCCACAGAGAAAAAGCCATTAGTCCAAAACAATCATAAAACGTCAGAATAGAATTTGTAAACACATGACAAAGACAATTAATTTTGGAGTGGTTGGTTAAAACTAAAGTGGAACTGTTTGCCCATGATGATTTATTACATTTGGAGACGAATAAGAAATGATTTCCTTCCTCCTCTTATAATTGTTTTTTACATTATGAAGGTATTTTGACAAGAAGTTTATTTGACAAGAGTTTCACTATTATTTTCTGGTTGATTTTTTATGAGAACAATTAAATCATTCTTGTATAGCACTAAATCACAAGAAATGCAATGATGAAAAAACACATTGACAGATGCCCACTGGCCATACATGTTTTTGACAACAAAACAATGTGTATAATGTTTAGAACTGGACCAAATATATATATATCCAACTCTTAAACTTCTAATGATAAGAAGGTCCTTTATTCATCCCACAGTGGGGAAATTTCAGTTTGATGAATACACATATACAGTGAAGTATTCGGCCCCCTTGAACCTTTCAACATTTTGCCACATTTCAGGCTTCAAACATAAAGATATGAAAATTATTTTTTTTGTCAAGAATCAACAACAAGTAAGACACAATCGTGAAGTGGAACGAAATTTATTGGATAATTTAAACTTTTTTAACAAATAAAAAACTGAAAAGTGGGGCGTGCAATATTATTCGGCCCCCTTGCGCTTATACTTTGTAGCGCCACCTTTTGCTGCAATTACAGCTGCAAGTCGCTTGGGGTATGTCTATCAGTTTTGCACATCGAGAGACTGGAATTCTTGCCCATTCTTCCTTGCAAAACAGCTCGAGCTCAGTGAGGTTGGATGGAGAGCGTTTGTGAACAGCAGTCTTCAGCTCTTTCCACAGATTCTCGATTGGATTCAGGTCTGGACTTTGGCCATTCTAACACCTGGATACGTCTATTTGTGAACCATTCCATTGTAGATTTGGCTTTATGTTTTGGATCATTGTCCTGTTGGAAGATAAATCACCTTCTTCCACATGTTTTGTGTGTCTCCCAGGTGGCTTGTGGCAAACTTTAAACGAGACTTTTTATAGATATCTTTGAGAAATGGCTTTCTTCTTGCCACTCTTCCATAAAGGCCAGATTTGTGCAGTGCACGACTGATTGTTGTCCTATGGACAGACTCTCCCACTTCAGCTGTAGTTATCTGCAGTTCATCCAGAGTGATCATGGGCCTCTTGGCTGCATCTCTGATCAGTCTTCTCCTTGTTTGAGATGAAAGTTTGGAGGGACGGCCGGGTCTTGGTAGATTTGCAGTGGTCTGATACTCCTTCCATT